CGCTTTCCCGTGCACCTCGAGGTGCACGCGCGCTCCCCGCCCCCTCTGCATCGTCTCGACTCGTTCCCGACCTCTCCGCCCGGCCTTGACGGTGCTCGTCTGTGCGTCGCTGTCGTTGGGAGGTGGGTGAGATAACGCCGACAGCCCCCCATCTGCCCACTCCCGACCTCTGCAGCCACCCCGCACCTGCCGCCATTTTCCTTCCTGTGAAGGGGTGCGCCTGCAGCGCCCGGGGCTCCGGGGACCGTTGACTGCGGGGTGGGGCACGAGGGCGCGTTCCCGGGGGCTGGGCGCGGGGGGCTTGGCGGTGAGGGATTGGGGACGGCGTGCGCAGCCATGGCAGGTGGGCAATTACAGGAGCGGAGATGGTGGGCCTGGGCGAGGGTGGGATGCGGAACTGGCGATTATAGGCCGCGAATGGTCCAGCGAGTTTCCCTTTGAAATGAAGAGGTTAACATCGTATTGTGTAAAGGGGCCTTGTCAGCCCTGATGGTCTCGTGGGAGTTTCTGGTATGCTGCGTTTTCGTTCCCTTCCGTTGCTTTGGGATCTCCATTTATTCAGCAGACCCGCCAAGTGCATATAATCCAGCCTTTGTTCCTTTTCCTCAGTTAAGGGACTGGCCCCTGTGGGGCCCGCAGTGATGGCCTATTGAATAAATAAATCATGGAAGTGCCTAATTACTATTCTATTGTGTGCATGTCATTTCCCTTGTCATGCAATTAAAAAAAAACAGGACTCATCATAATTCTGTTTTAACGCTGAAATCAACTGCTGTGTGATCTGTTGATGACTTATAGCCCTACGTGTGGGCAAAAAGAATCAAAATTGGGGGAGGTGGATTTACTCCTGAAATGCTGGATGGAGACAAAAACCCCAAAACTATACCCCCTTTGTGCTTTAACCACTGCACCACCAAGAAGCCAATCTATTGGAATCAGCCTCTGCTTGGAGAGGAGGAGGAATTTGGACGATACAGAATTCGCTGTTAGATTTACACCACAGGGAGAAGGCTCTGGTATGGTGTACAAGGTTTTTGGACGACTATTTTCTGGAAAAGGGTGCCTGTATCCTAATTGTTTCAAGGTTGGCAGAGGAATTCTTGTTGACTGTGGCCATGTCATCAGGAGGGATCATTCCCTGGAGAAGAAGCTAGTACGTGGGTGCGTGGTAAAGTAGAGGGTAAGTGAGAAAAAGGGAGGAGCCATCGGCATGGAGTGACACAGTGGGTTGAAACATGCCAACCCTTGTGACAGTGGCTCAGGATGTGTACAGGATTACTCTGTGACGGAGTCTAATTTGTAGGCACCCAACAACAGAGCCCAGCCCAGGTGTGGCTGGGGACCTGTTGGCTGCTGACTGACTACAAGGGCAGCGGCTCAAACCCATCAGCCACTCCAGGGTGAAAGTGGAGGCTTTCGGCTCTTGTCAAGCATTCCAGCGTCAGGAACCTATAGGGACCCTGCTACCCTGTCCTTAGAGTCACCGTGAGTCAGCATGGACTTGATGGCAATCGTGAATTCCTTTTATTTTTTAACAATGACAATGTTTGGTTTTTAAAAATGGAAGCCCCGGCCGAGGCTAGAGTCACGCTTGGGTCCTGGTTACTGCCTTGGTGTGCTAGAGTCCTCGAAGAGTAAGTGCTGACCTTATTCACTGGCCGTGTGTCTCGTGGCACAGTCAGTCACCAGGTTAGCGACATACGTTAAAAAAAAAAAAGAAGCCCCCAACTGATTTTTGAGATGACTTACTCTTCTGATTTTGGAAACTATTGGACAAAGGTTAATGAAAAGACCAATATATGGAATAATATGAAGTAAACTAGTGTTAGGAGGCAAAGTATGGCCATTGTTATACTGGTAGCCTTTCATATCTTTAATTGCATATTTAAATCCTTGACAAATAATTATGAAGCATATAATGTTTATTTTCATTTAAGAGAGCTAACATGAATAATCAGTTCCAAATTAGTTAGTAAGATTGTAACTAACAGGTAACTTTATTAGGTCAAGTCCCTAAGAGGTAGTGGTTAGTAAATATTTGTTGATTGGTTGCCACATAGATAGTATTTCTACTGTATCATACTCTTTATGTTGACCTCTCTCATGATTATCTCTAATATAAATGTTTTTGATATCAGGGAAGATGAATGGAAGGGCTGATTTTCGAGAGCAGAATCCAGATGTTCCAAGACCAATTCCACGTAAGTATGGTTTTATAATTAAAAACTGTGTGTGGGGGTGGGTGGGGAGGTGGGAAGGCGGGTGGTGGTGGTGGTGGTGGTGGTTTAGATGCAACTTTACAAAGCAAGTTAAGTTTCCCATTTGGCAACTTACACAGATTGTTCTGTGACATTGATTACTGATTGCAATCCTACACTGTCAGTGTTCTCCATTTTTTGGGTTCCCCGTTTCCAATAGGCCAATTTCCCGCCCCTTATGTTGGTCTCCAGTGGTGGTTTGTCCTGAGGAGCACATATATTCTTCCCAGGTTTCTTTGTGGTTCAAAGGTGATCTTGAAATGCTGTCAGTGCCATGTTAGAAGGGCATCTAAGGACCATCGTCTTAGGAGTTCCACCACTCTGTATACGGCCAGGAAGTTTGGTCTGTTTTAGGAGTTTGAATTTTGTTCTACCTTTTTCTCCAAGTCTGCCCAGTATCTTTGTGATTCCTGGTCAGAGCTGTTAGTGGTGGCACTGTATCGTTTTTGGGTGTCACTTTAATGTAGGCTCTGGTTGATGCGGTCCATTAGCCCTGTGGACTAATTGTTTTCTTGAGTTTTTGCTTTACTTCATTTTTTTCCCCTCTAGGTAAAAAGAGACCCATAGCTGTAACTTAGATGGCAACTCATAAGCTGTCGAGGCCTTAGTTGCTATCCATTGAAATAGGACTTAGAACATTGTATGCATTATGTTATACCACGTGATGTGGGTGTGCCCGGAGACCATGATCCCTAGTCCTGAAGGCCAGCATCTCAGCCCTAGGAGGTGTTTGGGTATGGCCCAGAAAGAGGTTCTCATGCCTGTGGCCCCTGACCACTCTGTTATGTACATATATGTATTTGCAGCCTGTGCAAATACTGAGGGCTTCGGGAAGTTTGTGGAAAAGTAGAATTCAAAGATAATGGCGTTTTTCCATGAACTTTTGAAGCCATCAAGTATATCTCCTGGAGTACATCCTGCCAGCCCTATATGGCAAGAAGGTGTTTTCCCAAATTTCCTCTCATCTGTGTGGGGTTGTTACAAACATTTTATATACAAAGTACTTTTCACTGCCTGGAGTGGTAATATCAGGGATAGCTTCATGGCTGGGCAACGTGTGTAGAGGTCTGTGCTTGGTTCATGCTGAGCTGTTACCATCTTGAAAGTCATAATAATGGTTTGAACAAGAGGCCTCACATTTTCATTTTGCACCGGCCCCCTGCACTGTATGTAGCCACTCTTAGCCACCCCTTAATAGTGCTAACTTTTCTTTGAAGTCAGTTTTTAAATAGTTTATAAGCCATTTGTTTCTTGATAAACTTGATAAAGCCATTACTTGATGAAAAAACAGGTTGTGTTTTGATACTATTCACTCTTAAGTATTATTTTAGACTGACTTTTTAAACTGTGTTTTAATGCTTTTGTTTCCTGTGAATAGACATAGGGGCGGATTACATTCCAACGGAGGAAGAGAGAAGGGTCTTTGCAGAATGCAATGATGAAAGCTTCTGGTTCAGATGTAAGTTAAATTTCTCATCCACATAATTTGACCTCTAGTACTTGAAATGATGACATGAGGTGATTGCCACTGGCTGCAACAGTGGGCTCAAACATTAGGATGATTGTGAGGATGTCCCAGGATCAGGCAGGGTTTTGCACACACTTTAAAGCTTTACAAAAGCTTTAAAAAGTTCATGGAACATTTCCATGATTTTTTAATCCCATTTGCCATGAACTTTTTGAAGCCCCCTAGTGTGTTTGCTCGCCCCTGATCTGGAGCTGTATTGTCCCTTGTGGAAGCCACCAGCCACAGATAGGTATTAAAATTAAAAATGCAATTCCTCGGCTGGTTTGGCCACATTTCAAGTGCTCAGGAGCCAACTGGAGCCTGGAGCTTACCTGTCTTGAGTGGTTCTAATACCACTCCTAGCGTTGGTGATTCAGTAGGAAGATTCAGAGAGCTGGGCATGTAGTTGTACTAATGGCTAACATCCGTTTCAGCAAAAGGATGCAAAGCAAAATCTGCAAAAGGGAAAAGCACCTGAGGTGAAGTCCAGAGGAAATGTGCCAGCTTCCAGGAGGCCTTTCCAGTGGAGCAGTCAGATAGGACCCGCTTAGCTCCTCTAGCAGCAAGTGTGTGAAGAGTTAGCTCCCAGGGAAGCTCACTAAGGGTTCAGCTCTCAAGGCTCTTATTGGGGGCTACTCATGTAGTCTATTCCCATAAAGAGTTTCAGTCTCAGAAGCTCATGGGCACCTCTACCTCTGCCCTGTAAGGGGGCTATGAGTCCACATCTACTCGATGGCAGTTGGTTGATTGGTTGAGTCATGTCATGTAGGGTGTGATGGGTCACAAGCTGGGCTGCTAACTGCAAGGTTGTAGGAGCTACTTTGTAGGAGTTTTACAGTTGGAAATCCAAAGTGGTGGTTGTCCTCTGCCCAATAGTCTCTGTGAGTCAGAATCAATTTGATGGCTGTGGACTTAGTCCTAGTTTGGGTCATATAGCACATACCAAAATTCTCTCTCAGAAAGCAGATGTTCAGCAAAAACCAAATTTCTATCACCAGTTTAGGTATCATGAGTCACTTTACCATGTTGAAGAAATTTTATGTCAGTATACGCAGCTATTACCGTATATACTCGTGTATAAATTGAGTTTTTCTGCACATTTTTAATGCAGTTTTTGTGGTAAAATTAGGTGCCTCAGCTGATATTTGTTCGGCTTATACTCAAGTATATACGGTAAGTCCTCAGGTGCCAGCTATGGACCAACCTTGCTTCCAGGGCTTTCTAAGAATAGCACTCTGAGAAGTTATGTTGACTATTAACCCAAAGCCTGTTGACATTGAGTTGCTTTTGACCCATGGGAGTCTCAGGTGCTACTGAGCACAACTGCCTTCCAGAGGAGACGCCCACAGTTCTCATGCCTGTCATCCATAGAGAAGCATTTCACCAAGCCTTTTCTCGTGCTAGTGAGTTGTAGTATTAAATTAAAAAAAATAAAAGACGCAGAGGGAGGGTGAGGGGACCAGCCCCGACCCGCTGCTACTCCTACGAGTTCAGTAATACTACTTCTGGGTTCAGTAATGCACAATTGTACGGTTGAGATATATAAGCATTATATTAAAGTCATCGAGAGCATGAGAGATAATACAATAATACAGTCAGGCATGTTACATAGTACCATTGCTCACCTCAGCCCAGCTTGGTGGTCCACGTGGAGAGAGGGGGAGGAGAAGGGAACAAAGGAGAGGGGAGTGACCAGGGAGTGAGCAGCAAGGAGCTCAGAGTCAGAGAGAGAAGTCCCAGACCCTATAGTGCTTACCCTTGCCTATATACCTTTTGGGGGCAAGCCAACCCACTAATTACAGGTAGAGACATCCGTCACAGGGAAGGGTTGCACTATAGGCTACACAGCAATGAGAGGGTGGTCTAGGGGGTGGTCTCTGGGTCTCCATAGGAACCATTATCAGTAGGGTGCAAACCCCACCTAGAGGAACCAAGCTAATGGTCCCAAGCTTCAGAGAGAAGTAGGCCATTGTCTCCAGCAGCAGGGAGCAGGCCCACCCCTGTGGAGGGATGAGACAGCAGTCTGGCAGCAAGGATCTGACTTCCCCCCACAGTGAGAGGGTTTGCACCACCAGGTTTTAGGGCAGTCACACCAATCATTTATGTCACCCAGGTGCTGTTTGTTGACTCTTCTCCTGCACAATACCTAATTGGAAATCCGAGGTACAGAATATGTTCATCGTCACAGAAAATTCTCTTGGATGGTGTGGGTGTCTAGTGATCTATAGCTGTATCTAAATTAGAAACCACTGCGAGATTATGTAATGAACTTTAGGATTTTCACTGGAATGATAATGCATGTATAGACCTAATTTTATGTAGTCTTCGGGAGTTTACTCGTTTATAAGAACAAATGATGTTTACACATTTTTCAGTTCTTTTCTATACCACCAAATGATTGTGCACTTATGTATCTCATGTTTAGGTTCAGCATGGGGCTTAAAAATTTCAGCTCCAGTAAGAGACAGATTGTTAGAATCCTGGACTTGCAATTAGACTAGCTGTGTGACCCTGAACACTGTTACTTACCATGTCTGCCCTTCCGTTAAGGAGGACGAGAACGACATCACCTGCCGTAGAGATGGAGTAGATAGATGGTGGAAAATAAATGGGGTCCTGCGTGTGAGACACTTGGGCTGCATGCAGTAGGGGCTCTGGGTTGTAATTTACTTCTTGCCTCCGACTTGTCATTCTGTTTTCCTCCTTTCTCGAGAGCAGCTTTTGATCAGTGCGTACTATGTTCTCTTTTTATTTTAATAATACTTTCTGATGTGTTTGGTGAAAACTCAGACAGTAAATTAAGTTCCTGTTGAACGGTGTATACGGTTCCCTGACATTGTGTACATTTACAGTGTGCCAGTAAACTTCCTTCCTGGTTGCTTTGTTTCTAGTCATCTGATTCTCCCACTTGTCCCACTCCCCATGCCCCTCTGTTCTTTAGGGGAAGTGATCATTTGGTCTCGGATAGTTGACTTTTTTTAATGGATGATGGTGATTTTTTAAAGCTTGATGATGATTGTCTTAATTGATGGTATTAGTTTTGGAGACGTAGACTTAAGTTGGTTCTTGGATTAAGTTGATTAATATTTTTAAAATTCTTAAATGCTGCTTTTATTTTTCTTATGACTACCGTACAGCTTTTAAAAGTGGAAATATCTCTTAGTGATCTTAATTTTGTGACATATTTTTAAAACAGTTTTACTGATCCTTTTTTCCTCTCTAATGAATGCAGGTAAAATATTTTCTTTTTATTGATAGTAACAACTTGTTTGCCTTTTACAGCTGTGCCCTTGGCTGCAACAAGTATGTTGATAACTCAAGGACTAATTAGTAAAGGTAAATATTTAAACTTTAAACATCATCATGACTATGCCCTTTTCCTGTTTGTTTTTTTTTTGGATAAAATAAATGAATTAAACATAACCACTGGTGAATTTTTACAATATTATAAGAGTTACATCGCTAGGTCTGCTGACTTTGTATCTCACTTCCCAGATTTAATGTCTTCCTGCACTATAGGAACATTAACAGTCGAGAAAAACAAGAAATTAAAGACGTGAGGATGGCTAGCAGGGAGGTCTAGGTGGACCAGCAATGCCACTATCACTTAGGTCCTTATTGGGAATACAGGCCTGCTGAATTGGAATCTTTGAGGTGGACTCTGAGAATCTGCCTCAGCAGATTCCAGGGGATTCTGTGTACTGTTTCAGCAATCAACAGCTCCCAAAATGACCAATGTGACATTGCATACAAAATTAGAATTTCAAGAATCTGGCAGGTAATCTACTTTTAATAATTCTCTGGAAAGATTTTCCTGTTTCATCATCTTTTGGCTTAAATATTTATAGTACAACATATTCATGTGTAGAGTTAGGTTTAGTTTAAATAGCTAAGTGAATTTCTTGTATAAAGATCAGTACTAAACTGGTTCCTATGAGGCACAGACTAAAGGCTTCCTCAATGTCCTACCATTTCCAGTCTGCTGTCCTTTTCTGTTATCTCTAATATCAGCTGTACCCCTCCCCCCAGGTCTGTGGGTTTTTTTTTTTAATTCACTACAAAATCTCACAGAACTCGAATGGTACTCAACAGTTGAGTGGTTTATTATGGAATGGGGTACACCTCAGGTTCAGGGTGTTAGTCTGGGTACTTTAGAGAAACAAATCCACAGAAACTCATTATAAGAGTTTTTTTTTTAAATCATTTTATTAGGGGCTCATAAAACATCACCATACATATATCAATTGTGTAAGACACCTTTGTGCATGTATTGCCCTCATCATTCTGAAAACATATGCTCTCCACCTCAGCCCCTGGCATCAGCTTCTCATCCCTGCCCCCCATGAAGCCTTGATAATTTATGCTTTTATTTAGTCATATCTTGCCCTGTCCGACGTCTCCCTTCACCCACTTTTCTGTTGTCCATCCCCCAGGGAGGAGGTTATATGTAGATCCTTGTAATCGGTTCCCCCTTTCCACCCCACCCTCCCAATATCGCCACTCACACCACTGGTCCTGAAGTGATCATCCACCCTGAATTCCCTGTGTTTCCAGTTCCTATCTGTACCAGTGTACATCCTGTGGTCTAGCCAGATTTGTAAGGTAGAATTGGGATCATAATAGTGGGGGGGAGGAAGCATTTAGGTACTAGAGGAAAGTTGTGTGTTTCATCATTGCTACATTGCACCCTGCCTGGCTCGTCTCCTGAGACCCTTCTGTAAGGGAATCTCCAGTGGGCTACAAATGGGCTTTGGGTCTCCACTCCACATTCCCCCCTTCATTTGCTATGGTAAGATTTTTTGTTCTGATGATGCCTTATACCTGATCCCTTTGACACCTTGTGATCGCACAGGCTGGTGTGCTTCCATATGGGCTTTGTTGCTTCTGAGCTAGATGGCCACTTGTTTACCTTCAAGCCTTATACCTTTTGATAGCTGGGCACCATCAGCTTTCTTCACCACATTTGCTTATTCACCTGCTTTGTCTTCAGTGATTGTGTCGGGAAGGTGGGCATCATAGAATGCCAATTTAATGGAAGAAAGTATTCTTGCATCGAGGGAGTACTTGAGTGGAGGCCCAGTGTCCTTCTGCTACCTTAATACGAATTCCCCATCCTCATATGTAAATATATTTACATATGTACATGCCTTTATTTAGACCTTTAAAAATGCCCTTTGCCTCCTAGCTCTTTCCTGTTTCCTTTGACTTTCAAGAGAGAGTTTTATATAAAGGGTAAGTGCACATCAATAAAACATCCCAGCCCAGTGCTGCTGAAGCCCACAAGTCCAACATTAACCCATAACTCATATGTCTGACACCAATACATGAAGTCCTCCTCCATTTCACAAAACACACACACTGATGCCGAGTTCAAGAGGAAAGCCAAATCAGTGAAGGTGTAAGCATCTCAGCGCTGGCAGGGGTCTCCACATGGCTGCTCCAGCACCCAGGGCTGCATCGAGGTAGGTCCATTCTCCTTGGGGGGATGTCTTGCAGGAAGTCAGCCTTGCAAGATGAAGCAGGGAACTGCTAAGGCAGCTGCACCCTGGTCTGACCATCACAAAGCAAGAGACCCGAGAACTAGAAAGGCGAGTTCCCTCCACCCTTCAATTAACCCCACGTGTTTATTGGCTAGGTTGGCACAATTAACTACCTTAGTCAGGAACAACTCAGAAATAACACAATGATTCAAAATATAATTCTTAATCAGGAGGGTTTCTTCTTGCCCTTAGCTTTTGGGTTCTGCTTGGATCCTCTTGGGCAAAGTGTTTAGCTCTATGCTCCCTGGGTTGGCAGGCCCACTGTCGCCATCACAGGCCCTGCTGTCTCACCTTGCTCTTACTGTTTCTATTGTGGCACCGTTCTCTCACTGTCTCCCTGTTAACCGTTCCTCACTCTCTTCCATGGCTAGGCACCAGGATGACAAAACTGACCCATCTTCTTGTTAGGGCTCCATATACTTTTATTTGCTGAGTGCAACTCTCAAATTCTTGGCACTTTATTTGCAAAAGCAGCACATGATCCAATCACTTTGATGAGTCACAGCACCTTATTTGCGTCCAAGCAGTTGTGTGGGAGTCAGAAAGACTGGCTAGAAAAGACTAAGTCAGACAGACTGTGAAGTATGAAACTACCATCGTACTAAGGTCAATCAGAAAGTACTCCCGCTAAGGTTCTAGTTCATCCATGCACACATTTTTTCAAAGCAAGACCTGTTTAAACATCTCTCATCAGTGGATGGTTACAAACAAATACAGTCATAATAGACTTGTCTTAGTTTTGTTAGGTGGCATTAAAGATACTTTTGCACCATGGGAATTAAACAATTTTGAGGTCATAGCTCATATCAAGTCTTTAATAAAACAAAAATGACTATCTTCCCAGATCACTGAAATGTTGCAAAAAGTTTGTGGGAAAAGAGGTATTTTTTTTGATGCAGCAAGCATTTTAAGCAAAGTCAATGAGACTTCATAGATGAGCCAGGAGAGGGAAGACCGTCAACCTCAATGAATGAAGTAGCTGAAGCTCAGAATGGGTGGAAGAAGACTGCAGAATTACCGTTGGTGCTGCAACTCTAGTTGGGATCTCCCATAGGGCAGCACTCGTTACGCAAGTATCTGGGTCTCAGCAAGCTTTCAGCTGGAGGGGTTCCAAAGTTGCCTAAAGTCAGACAGCTCAAAGAACTGATCTATGAGTCTTTTAAGAGAAGAGTCTTGGGAAGAGTGTTCCAGAGAATGCAGTCCATTCAAAATGGTGGCGTCCAAGAGGATCTGCTAAGCCAGCTACAGTCCAGGCAGAGCTCAGCTCAGAAGGTTAGGGTCACTGGGAGCGCCAAAGGGAATCTAGACAGATTTTATTAAAGATCCCAGAGGGACACGGCTAATGAAGTTTTAGGAACATTTAAAACCGCATTGATGAGAAAGACCAGGACATTTACACTGAAGAATTATTAATGTAGTGCAAGTATTGTTTCAAATGTAGAAAATGTCCTACAAGAATTTCATTAGGAAGTCTTGCCATATCCATCCCACCGCCCTGGTCTTGCCCCTTTAAGCATCTTTGTTCCTCAAACTTAAGTAAACGATTAGCAAAATCATTCAAGGCAGAGTGAAAACTCAGTAAATAGGGAAGCTGGAACCAGATAAAGTGATCATTCTGACTGTGTTGTGAGAAAGACTTTCAAATGAAACCCAGCTGCGATCCAGTCCCTTGTGACTCATGTGACCCCACAGGGCATGGTAGAATTGCCCTGTAACTGTATGAGAGTAGAAAGCCTCATCTCTCTTCCAGGGAGTGGCTGGTGGATTTGAACGGCTGACCTTGTAGTTAGCAGACCAGTATTTAGCCACCACCCCACCAGGGCTCCTGGAAGACACTAGGAAAGGGAATTCAGAAATTCACCAAGGCAAATTTAGACAAGATACCTAGTATTTTTTATGTTTTCATCCACAGTGTGCATATTCAATACAGTCTTAACTGCCCTCTCCCTACTCATTCTCTTATCAAAACATTTAAACATGTCAGCTTCTTCTGTCTTCAGAACATAAAGAAAAATCCTTTCTCACATCTCCCACCTGCCTCCCCTGTGAAACCAAATTTCTTGAATAGACTCTTCATATCCCACTTATTTAAAGTCATTGCTGTCTGCGTCATAGATATTCCTGTATTCTACTATTTACTGAAAGTCTTTTATGCTGGTGTTTGCTAATTAAACAACTTTTACTTGTATGATTCAGTGACAATGATTTTGCTTATGTTATGTAACCATTCACCGTTACTCATTTCCAAATTATCCTCATTGCTCACTAAATGACGGCCCCCCCCCTTTCCCTCTTGCCTCCTACCCTTGGTGTAAACTTTGGTACATTGGCATATTTCATTTAACTGGGATCAAAATGTTTGTCCTTTGGTAACTGACCTCTTTTACTTGGCATAATGTTTTCCTTTTTTTAGAAATCATTTTATTGGGGGCGTTTACAGCTCTTATAACAATCCATATATCAGTTGTATCAAGCACATTTGTGCATATGTTGCCGTCATCTGCAAACCATTTTTTTTCTACTTGAGCCCTTGGTATCAGCTCTTTTTTCCCTACCCTTCCCACCATCCCACCCTTGTGATCCCTGTCTATATTATAAATTATTTTCATATCCGCTGTCTCCTTTCACCTACGTTTCTGTTGTTCACCCCCCACTAGGGGGTGAGGTAGGTTGATTATACGTTGATCATGTGATCAGTTTCCCCCTATGTCCTCCTCCCCCCACCTCCCTACCCTCATGGTATTGCTGCTCCCGTTGATGTACCTGAGGGGCTTCTCGTTCTAGATTCCACATATGGAGCGCTCTTATCTGTGCCATTGTACGTGCTTCGGTCTAGCCGGGTTTGTACTGTAGAACTGGGGTCATGATTGTGTGTGTGTGGGGAGCTTTAAAGAACTAGAGTAGCTGTTCTCAACCTATTGGTCGCAACCTCTTTTTGGAGTCAAATGACCTTTTCACAGGGGTCACCCCATTCATTACCGTAGCAAAATTTCAGTTATGAAGTAGCAACGAAAATAATTTTGTGGTTGGAGGGTCACCATAACATGAGGAACTGTATTAAAGGGTCGCAGCATTAGGAAGGCTGAGAACTACCGAGGAATGTTGTGTGTTTTGTTGGTGCTGTACTGCACCCTGGCTAGTTTGTCCCTTTCTTGTGACCCTTGTGTGAGGGAGTGTCCAATTGTCTACAGATGGGCTTTGGGTCTCCACTCCTACCACCCTCATTCTCATCAATATGATTGCTTTGGATCTTCTGATGCCTGATAGCTGATCCTTCAACGCTTTGTGATCATACAGGCTGATGTTCTGCTTCTATGTTGGCTGTTGCTTCCATGCTAGATGGCCATTTGTTTAACTTCAGGCCTTTAAGACCCCAGATGCCTATCTTGTGATAGCCAGGCACCATGAGCTTTCTTTACCACATTTGCGTATGCACCTATCTTGACTTTAGTGATTATGCTGGGAAGGTGAGCATCACAGAATGCCAGGTTATTAGTACAAAGTGTTCTTGCATTGAGGGAGGACTTGAGGAGAAGCCCAATATCCATCTGCTACCTTGATACTTAGCATATAAATATATGTACATAGACCTACCATATATACTCGAGTATAAGCTGAGTTTTTCAGCATATTTTTAATGCAGATTTTGTGGTAAAATGTGCCTCGGCTGATAATTGGGGTCGGCTTATGCTTGAGTGTATAAGTATATCTCTATTGTTATATATTAATATACATGTATATATTTATACCCCGGCTCCCTGCCCCTTGGCCTCACCCTCCACTTATATTAATATAGTTAACATATATACATGGCTTAATGTGTTCATTATGATTATAATGAAGTTTACCCTTGCTAAAGCATGTATCAAGGTGAATTTCTTTTAATGGCTAAGTAGATTCCGCCGTACTGTGTGTGTGAAACGTGTTTATCCATTCATTTGCTGGTGGACATTTTGGTTCCCGCCTATGGCTGATGTGAATTGTGCTGCAGAGAACATTGGGATAAAGGGTTCTGTTGTGTTCTGCCTTCACTTCTTTGAGGTGTTTAAGGGGCTTTAAAAAGTTTGTGGACAAAATTCATTTTCCATAAAGTTTTTGAAGCCATATTGTATGCTTAGCATTGGGATTGACCGGGTCATAAGGTAAATATAACCATTCTAGTGGGGGTGAAGTGGTATATCGTAGTTTTGATTTACGTCTCCCCTAAATGTGAGTAAAGGAGCCCTGATTGAATAACAGTAGGTTGGCAGTTCAAACCCACTTAGTTGTTCAAGGGAAGAAAAAGCTGGTGATCGGCTATGAAGATGATGAACTCAGTAAAATCCTAGGGGGCACTTGGCCTCCATCAAAGTGGTTCACGAATCGGAGCATCTTTTCACGTGCCTGTGGGCTGTTTGTGTATTCATTTTTGGTGGGAAATGTCTCTTCAGGCCATCTGGTCATGCCTTTTTTTTAATAAGGGTGTCCATTTTCAATAAACTTGTTTTGATTTGGTTGGGAAATTGTACTGAATTTATATATCAGTTTGTGAAGAATTGCCATCTTCACAGTATTCTTGAATATAACATCTTCCTGTATTTAGCTTTTAATTTTTCTCACGTTTTGTCATTTTCCTGTGTAATCTTAGCATAACCTAAAAACTAGAGTGCAGTGTATGGCACACCTTACCTTAAATGTGTTATTTCTGTGACAGTTATGTTACTCAGAAATATTTTTTCTTTTCTTTAGGAATCCTATCAAGTCATCCCAAGTACGGTTCCATCCCTAAACTTATATGTAAGTAAGAAAGAGCAATGTATCCTTAGTTGGCAGTGTCGCATAAATAACAGCTGGGTTTTTTGTTCGTTTGCTTAACCTAAGTGAAATAATTTGTTTTTATTAATTTTTTTGTCTTGTCCCCCCAGTAAAGGTATATAGTTATATGCATTGACAAGCACCTTTGTTTATGCTTTTAATTAAATTGACCATAGGTTTGCAATGCTTAACGTCCATATTCTGTGAAATAGGGATGGTTAGGATTTGGATGTTGTACAAATTCCCTATTCAAACTTGATGGGAACTGATGCTTAGTCCTCGAGTGGCAGCAGCAGTGGTGGGTAGCTGCTAGCGGGAGGGAGCCACTTGGGGCAGGGAGTGGAGTGCGCCCAGCCCCGGAGCTGTGTCCTCTGCCTCGTCCACCTGTGTCCCACCCTTGGTCCTACGCTGCAAGAGTCTGGGTTTCGGGCCTTTAGAACCATTATGGGGAAATAATAAAAATAACTGGTTTGCCTTAGCTTTTTCAAAATAAGGCTTATGGGATCACAAAGTTGGATTCGTGCACATTTTGTTGGCATCAAAATTGTAAGTTACTGTATATACTTGAGTATAGGCCGAGTTTTTCAGCACATTTTAATGCAGTTTTTATGGTAAAATTAGTTGCCTCGGCTGATACTCTGATTATACTCAAGTATGTAGGTACTTAAAAGAGGCCTTCCTTCCACCACCCCCTAGTTAGAGTAGTGTAATAGGAATTAGTAGATCTCTTTTGTAAAGATACTGGATCTAAGAAAAATTCTCTTTGTCTGTCTATAGAGATAAAGTGTAGATAATTTGATAAATCAAATTGTGTGTGAAAATTTGTTTAAAGATGAAAACTCTCTAGCAAAATTAATTACGTTTTGTAATATGGTTAATAGGAAGCTAATAAGTAGCTCTGAGAGTACCTGAGTCTTTCCGTGAACCATTGAATCATTCAGGTTGCCTTCTTTTATATTGGAAACAGATAATAGCCATATTTACTTAGAACTTCATGATTGCTAGAGATTTCTTGAACCCAGTTTTATCTTAATTTCAACACAATCTTGTGAAAATAACTGAACATGATTTTGATTTTACAGGAAAAGTAGTTGAAAGTCCCACAACTAGGCTAGAATTGCAGTGTTTCGATTCCTTATTCCTCTTCCTCTTGCATCTTTACCATCTATATTAATCACGTAATCGTCGATGTAGAATTTGTGTGCTAGCAGCTATATTTTGGCATATTGTTGGAAAGTGAGGTACATTAACAGAACATTTACTATGAGCTTGATGTAATGCAGAACTTTTACCATAAATCCCAGTCTCCAAACCAAAGAAGTATTAGAGCTACATTGTTTAAAGATGTTCTTCTGCAGGGGTAGTTGGACTCTGTCCCACAGGGTCACTGTGTGTCAGAATTGACTCAATGGTACTGAGTGAGAAAACCAAATACGCAGCGTGCCTTTTATTTATGGAAGCCCAATCTGAAAAAAAAAAGAAAGCCCAAACTCCATCTCTGCTTCTCAACTAGACTTGTCCTCCATTAAGTTCATTCTGGCCGTTAAAAGTCAACGTGAATGAATAGCTTTGCCCTCAGATAGAGTATGTTGGAAAGTGGGTTACTGCCACTGCCCTGGCCAGGCCAGGGAGGACGGGGCAGTGTCTCGTGGGGAGTGGGCTGCATAACAGTACCCTAACTGCCTTTGCTAGGAGGCCCTTGGTAACCAATCTTGTAAGTTCTGTTTAGCATAATCCTCATCCCATTCCCATGTCTGCAGTGTTGTATGCAGCTATGATGTATTAATCTGCCAATTATGCTCTTGTGACAGTTTCCTCTGTACCCCCATGTCCTATTTAAATGGACGTTTCTTTGTAAACCCTTGGACACCTTGTGTGATGGTGTCCCTCACGGGTGAATTGTTTTGTCTGTGTCCTTTTCAAGACTTAATAAATGTGTCTTGATAATAAAAAAAAAGACAAATAAAAATGTTCTTCCAGGAATATTTTTGTCTAAAGAGGCATATTGTATCATGTCATCACGCTTTCTGTTCTTGTTTTTCTCCCCCAAATTAGTTGCTTGCATCATGGGATACTTTGCTGGAAAGCTCTCTTATGTGAAAACTTGCCAAGAGAAATTTAAGAATCTCGAGAATTCCCCTCTTGGAGAGGCTCTACGGTCAGGACAGGCACGACGACCTGCACCATCTGGGTAGGCCAGATTCTGGTCTCGAATTTTATGTCTTGTTTTAATTTTTACTTTAAAAATTATAAGGAAGTAAATATTGGTATAATTCAGGGCATGAAGCATTGCATAACTTGGAGGCCATTGGAAATTTGCCATAATGATTTAGGTTAAAGCTAATTTTACTGAACACTAGAGCAAGTCTGGGTTACCATTATTGTAAATATAGACTTCTATATTACTGGGACTATTAAGTCCCAGAATAAATAATTCTATCTTGATTTGATTTGGCAAACACCTTTCATTACTCTTATTTTGAAGTTTTTGCATGACTTTTCAAATGTTGTCAAGCCTATCACCTAACAAATAGCAACTTCCTTTGATCAGCACTTCTGTTATTTAAAATAGGAAAAAGAATTGAGTAGAAAAAGAATCTATTGAATTTTTTTTTAAGTTTCAATCTTTATTTGTTAAAGCAGATTTTTATTTTTTATTAATAAATCATTGGGGGCTCTTACAGCTCTTAAAACAATCCGTACATCAGTTGTATCAAACACATTTGTACATATGTTGCCATCATCATTTTAGAAACATTTTCTTTCTGCTTGAGCCCTTGGTATCAGCTCCTCTATTCCCCCTCCCTCCCCCGCCCTCCCATCCAACACCTGTTGAATTTTCAGTGTATCATATTGATATTTATTTTGATAGTCTCTAGCTTCATAAAAAGAATAATTCTTGGCTCAATTATTTAAAAAGTGGCCTAGTGTCTAAATACATTTCAGGTTATATCATAAATTGGCATAAGTATTCTGCGTAGTATTTGTTTGTTATTTTATTTTATTTATTTTTTAATCACTTTATTGGGGGCTCTTAACAGCTCTCATCACAATGCATACATACATCAATTGTGTCAAGCACTTTTGTACATATGTTGACATCATTATTTTAAAAATATTTTCTTTCTACTTGAACCCTTGATATTAGTTCCTCATTTTTCCCTACCCCCCACCCTCTTTCCCTCATGAACCCTTGATAAATTGTAAATTATTATTATTTTCATATCGTACATCATCCGCTGTCTCCCTACATCTACTGTTTTGTTGTTTGTCCCCCTGGGCAGGGGTTGTT